TCTAAATATTCTAGATCCTCTAGAATGTTATTAGGCTAGTCTTAATCTATTTAGATTACTTCTTATAGTATCTTTAGATTAATAATTTTATAGCCTTTAATTAATATAATTTCTTACTATCCATTCTTCTAAAGTATAAAGTAGTTCTTTAACTTAGTATATCCTAATTCCTTAGAACGCGTCCTAATAAAGGATACTATAGGAGGTTCTATTAGATCTTCTCTATTATAGAGTTCTTCTTCTTCGTCTAGTAATAGTTAGGTTCTAAAGTCCTAATCTTCGTCTAAGTGTGTATTATATTCTACCTATTAATTAGTGTCTAAGAAATATTCTTTACTATTAACTATACTAACATTATAAGTTAGTAGGTCACTATAGTTTATTATATTTAGTCTATAATTTTCTTTAACTAGTTTCTATTACTTCTTAGGTGCCTTACACTTATTTATAAAGTGTCCTAGCTTTCTATAATTATAGTATATCTTATTAGATTTAGTTTAGCTCTTATATATAATATTAAGCTCTATAGGGCCTAAGTGTATTCTATAAGCTATAGATCCTCTATAATGTCTACTAGTATTAGCCTATAGTAGTAATAGGTAGTTTTATTATCTAGTACCCTATCCTCTATATTTAAGTCGCCTAGTGTATAGTTAATTATTAATCTTAATAATCTTTTTAATAAATGTATTAAAGTTATTAGGTTAGTCTTCCTTAGTAATCTTATCCTTTATATCTTCCCTTAGTCTATTATAAAAGAGTTCTATTTAGTTATTATTATCCTAATTAATATAGTTAGTAATACATTTAAACTCTTATATATAGTACTAAGTAGATCTAGTCTGCCTTAATAACTTAAGCTTATATATTATAGTTCTAATCTTATTTAGGTTACTAAATATAGTTTATAGTGCCTCTTTAAAATTCTTATACTTTATAAAGATTTATATAGTATTATTATTAGGTTTCTTATTATTAAGATAGTCCCTAAGAGTTAGTTCCTACTATTCTATAGCTTTACTAGTAAAAAGGTTTCCTATATAAAGGATCTTTATAGATTCCTTAGTGATAGAGTTATTAACTCTAAAGATAGGCTTTAGCTTAGAAGGTATAAATGTCTCCCCTAATTCTATTAAACGTGTTAGGTTTAAGAAACTTTAGTATTATTACTTTTAGTTTAGGTAGTATAGTAGCCTTAAGCTTTATTTCCTCTAACTGTGTATAAAGGTACTTAACCTTAGTGTTAAGGTTAATAATTTTAACTACTAGGTTAGTAACTATAGTTACTAGATTAGTATCTATAGCCATTAGGTTAGTAACTACTATTATTATATTAGTGTTCTTACTACTAGTAGTAGATATTATAAAGGTTAACTACTTATAATCTTAAAGGTAACTTACTAAATAGGACTAATTAAAATATAATAGTAGCTTAATCCT